TGGAATTATGTCCATAGAATATGTTAAGTCTAAAGACAACATAGCGGATCCACTAACCAAAGGGTTAGCAAGAGAGTTAGTTGAGAATTCATCGAGGGGAATGGGACTAAAGCCTATTAAATAAGAGTTACCACAATGGCAACCCAACCTAGTTGACTGGAGATCCCAAGATCTAGGTTCAAAGGGACAACCGAGTTGTGAATGACTCAGAAGGATCACTAGGGAGTTTATCTCCTACCCATTTCTTTGATGAAATAGTGATGTCTGCAGCGGTTAGGTTAAGTAATATTTTTAATGATTCTTATATCTAGGTAAACCTAATGGAGTATGGCAGGATACTTTTCATAAGAATCACCTATGTGAGTGTGAACTAGGCCGGTTCTATAAGATTTGTGAAGGGCTACAAGTCTTTAGAGCACTCATGAAAGACCAGGTTGTTCAGGGCCAAAATAAACACAATAGTGAGAACTAAACTGTGTCCGGAGATATACTGTGTGAGTTCTATTGTCTTGGTTTACACAAACGGCTGAACAGTTCAAGACATCATGTTTACTGGTTAGCTAGTGAATCCGATAGTATCTCACAAGGGAAGGTTCAAAGCCAAAAGCTATCTATCCTTTGTAGAATATTTCCAATTTCTGTACTCTCTGTATTTACATCATGTTGTTGCAGTTTCTCTCTGTCAATTTCATTCATGTGGGGGATTGTTGGAAAATTTATAAAGAGGTAGTTGTGAATTGAAATAAACTCCATTTTGAATTGTTAGGTTTTATTCTTGGCAACCCCGTTTGACAAAACTCCTTTCAGTTGTATTTTTTTTTTTCACACTTTTATTTCAGTGAGGCTATGAGTGTTTAGATGCGAATCCAACCCGAATTGCGCCTTTCAGAGAAGTTTGTGATGCTAATGCTTTCAAGATTGCCACTTCACTGATTATGACGGGGATCAAGCTGCCCGGTCAGCTCGCGGGGGTCCAGGGGGTTTTTTTATCACAGTTGGAGGTGTCCAATTGTGGTTTTTCCACGTAAAATCGTTGTGTCTCTTTCTCTTGATTGTTTGATTGGGATTGTTATATTCTGCTTAAAATTGATACATAATCACAAATCAACATCTAGGGGATTTCTAGATTTTTCATGAATGAAAGGGTGTAACCTTTCATGGTGTCTTTTTGCTTTAAAGGAAGGGTCAAACCTCCATTTGAATGAAAGGGTGCAAACCTTTCATGGTGTCTCTTTATTTTAAAGGATGGGGTATGTTCCTTCTTTATACCTTTTCTATTCAAATTGAATAGGTGCCAACAAAGCCTATATAAAGGCAGCCTCATTCCAATTTTGATGGATTCCGAAAATTCATTTTCCTTGCCTTCATTTTGCTCTCTTGCGTCCTTTATTCTTCATATTATTTTAGGAAAAATTTCAAAGAGTTATGGAACACAAGGTTCTGGTTCGTCGAACAAATTTGTTTGAAGTGCTACTACAAATTTGTGAAGATCATTGTATCCTGGGAGATAGACGCCACATAACCGTAAGCACCGTAGCGGGGCGAATCTGTCTTAAGGACAGAGTGTCACACACTCGACTTTGTCTTTAAATTATTGATTCGGTTCAACAAAATAAATTCTGTAAGTTTTATTTTATTTTGTTTGAATTATTTTAAGTTATTTTATTTACATAGAAGATTGTTCCAACACAATAAATAGTTAGATTTAGATAATTAAAAAGAACACACATGGTAAAATATATAAGGGAAAATGCAAGCCTTACTTGGTCACAGAGCATTACTGTTCGTTCATCAAAATTTTCAACACTAAAATTGTGAGCCCTGTAAAGATAACAAAGAAAATCAGTCTTACTAACAACAAAGAAGTGGACATGACTTAATGAAAGGGCATAGATGGAGAGAATTGGGATAATTAATTTTCTGGAGGGAATAAATAAGCATATGGGTTAATGAAATAATAGCGAATAATTTTGTAAGTGACACAATTTGATGTTGTGTATAGCATGAAATTTCTATATTGGTATAAATTTTTTGGACTTTTACTGTTAAACTGCAAGTTAAAAGCAAAGGAGCTCCTGGCCTTCAAAACCTAAAATGGCCTTCTGAGTAAAGCCATGTTCAACCTTTGGGAAATTATCAGTCTAACCATCGTTGCTTGCTTGCTTTTATACAAATATTTTTCCTTAACATTGAGCAGGTGTTGGCATATACATATTTCCTTGGATATCATTGGACATTGGTTAGATTTGATGAATGTTGATGGATGGATTCCACGTGAACAGATTTTGGGTGATGATGCTCGAAGGTGATTTGAGGCACTCGAGCAAGCGATGTAATGAGTTTGGGATTTCAAAAATTTTCATTGACAATTAACATATTTCTTTTTCTATCTTTTTTCCAGTAAGGTCCCTGAGGAAAATATTATTCAGCATCCAACAAATGGAAATCCACCAACACTATTTCTGGTTTTGCGGGGTTAGTTTGTATCTCTCAATTGAATTTTGCTATTTCTTTGTGTGAGAATTTTCTTTTTCATCATGGCATTTTAGGGATTCAGCCCATTATTTTCTTGTTGAGGAAAATCTTACCCTTGTGAGTTGATGGTGACACTTGAGTTAGTGCAAGTGTGTATATTCATGTAGCACTTATCCAATTTATCTTTTAGATGATTGTTCATCACTGGAGCATTACATACTAAAACTTTAGTTTTGAAGTTCGTGTTTGTTTTCTTCACCAACCACTTATTTGTTGGACCTATGGTTATATACTTGAAAAATGGTATGCCAAACAATTCACCTTACAGAGCTGAGCAAATTATTGGAATTCTGGAAAGCTAGATGGATTGTATGGATAAATAAACAGGAGAATCAGGGAAGATATGCCAAATATTACCTTGTCTCACACACATTACACTTGCTTTAAATACCAACAGAACCTATAAACTACTGCACACACTGAGTTGTATTAACCAAACATTTTGAACAAGTTGCTCTAATAAGCCTCAATATACACTGACATGAGAATTTAAAACTCCTTTACCAGGCAACAATTAGAGTATGGAATCTGACAATTTTCCTGATGTTCTAACCATAAACCAAATGTAAAAACATTTTAACAAAAACAGGAAACAGTAACATTGTGGCATATCAGGTTCAATGACAATCAATCATACTAAAAATGTTCAAGTACGAATGTCGCAAAACTGGAAATAGTAACACTGTTGCATATCTGGTTCAATAACAACAATAATACTAATAATGGTTCAAGAAGGAATGTCATACGGAAACCCTAAACCCTCTCCCTCTAACAATAACAAGAATGATAAGCACAGAAATCTGATTGCTTATACACCACAGCCTTCTCTCTCTCCCTTAGAAGTTAAACCCAAATGAAAGCACTAAAACTGAAACCATACAAATATACATAAATGTGCCACTGGTTTTCCATACATAATGCCTAAACGAAGCCCCGTTACAAAGAAGGAATGAGATAACATTACCATCAATCAACCTGTTCTTTAGAGAGCCCTTTTTCTTAATGACTATTATTCAAGGGTATATGAATGGATGCTCAATAAACTTTGGTTGCAGTTTTTTTTTTTTTTTCCTTCTTTTCTTTCTTTAGATACTATTGTTGTTATTCTTAATATTGCATGCATTTACATTGTCACAATTAAAATCAAACACAAACAACAGACAACAATAGTGCAAGTCAGGATTTTGTAATTTCTAGAGTCAATACATTTTTTCATAAGTTAAAGATAATGTTTTTTTTCAACAACATCATTGCTATTTCGATCTTTCAAATGATAAGCAGCAACCAAAAAGCCATAATCAGAAACAGAAAAGCAAAATAAAGCTTAGGTTTACACATATATATGTATATATTAGCAACAAAACAAAGATCAAGATCGAGCATTAGGTACTTTATCAAAACAAACAAACGAGAGAGAGAGGGAATGTTTATCACGGACGAGAGACCTCAAAAACGATCCAAAAGAAAACAGAAAAGAAGAAGCGATCCAAGAGAGAACAGAAACGAAAAACCAGAGAGTATGAGAGATTGAAGCAAAATTGAGTTGCTAGAAAAGGTGAAACATATGGGATAATTCTACACGTCAAGAATGATTAGAGAAAAATAAAATTCATTTGTTAGGAGTTGTAACCATTAGAATCTGTATTGGGCTTTTTTCCAAGGCAATCACATTTCAAAGGCCCATAGTCTTTCTACAACAGTCATATGTCTTTGTCATGAAATAGGCTTTAAGTCCATTTAAATTCTCTAACGAACAGCATCAAAGTCTAATACCCAGGCCCTGAGCTGAGTCGGCTAAATAGGGCTCCCTAGCCCATGAACCTAGCTACTTGCTCTGGCACACAAATTACAATAGATATCATGGTTCTATTAGGTGGCGACACATTGTTATGTGGATCAATATTTTAGTAGGGAAAAAAAAAATCCATTCTAAATATATAGTTTTTTATATTAAAATTTAATTTGTGTACTTTTTTTTAAAAGTGATTTAATCATTAAATTACTTAGTTAAATATCGCAATTTTATAAAGGCCAATGTGGGAGCCAGAAAATTATAGGTATTAGCTTATTGGGCCTAACCCAAACAAAGCCTACAAAGGTCCAGCCCAAATAAATATCACACCCCCCGTCTATATAAAGGAGGGGCATCCCAAGTGAAAGGTATGTCTGTTCTCCCTCCACCACACACACACACCCCTTCTGATATACATATATACTATTTCTTGATTCAAGGGCTAACTTCATCATCGGAGTACTCCCGGCCAGCAACCCCAGTTGGGTAGCACCGACTATATTCCTCATTGCAGATCTACAGGGGTGAGGCTCTTCTCTTCGCTGGATCTCTACAACATCCATGTGAGAGGATATTTCATGGTCTCACAATTGGCGCCATCTGTGGGAACGACTGAATGAGATCAACGAAGAACACAACAAATATACTACTATAAGTAAACATATACTGGTTGCTTTGAGGTCAGTGCACTTTCTACAAAAGCAAAACCAATCCCAAGTAATACGGCCCACAACTAGGTTTTTGGCTTCTTTCATTTTGATTTTGTTTTTTGCTAAAGTTCAGGTATACATATACATATATATATATACACACATCTATGTATGTATCTATTTATGCTCACAGATTTGATCAAAGCATCGTTGAGTATTAATATTGCTTAGAAAGGTTGTCAAAACAAGATGAGGTTAGTAGTTGTTTTTCTCTCTCTAAAAATAGGTTTCACACCTTTATTGGTACAAACATCTTTTCGGCAATTCAACACATCTGCTTGGCTAAATTAATACATGTGTCTATCTATTTATTTATTTATTCTTTGTTTCACAAAGCATATCTTGAAGATGATTCTTCATATATATGCACATGTACACAAGTTGGGTTCACTTTTTCTTTAATGGCTTCCATTGATGCCAATCCAAACCTCGGCAAAACCAAAGATCAAAGGTGTTGCATGCATAATGCAGTCTTGCCGACCACATTCTCAGCAAAGCCAAATTCAAAGAGATGCCGACCAAGTGATTCGGCACATCATGAAGCTAAGAAAAGTTTCCAACCACATGATCGGCTGCAAGTCGGCCTACACTGAATAAGGGAAGCTGTTTTTCTCTTTGAAAGAATTTATTTGTATATTTCTAGTGTACTACACATATTTGCGTATACTATTTTTTTAATCAAACCCAAAAAACACAGGCATAGATAAAATATAAATAAATATATATATGTCACAAAATTATGGGTTGTAAGTTTTCTCTCTCTAGGAATTGATAAAAAAAATATTATGTCAGACTCCGAATAGCACTGGTTGACAAAATATGTAACAAAGCCATCATTTTCCAAAGAACTTATTTTCATTTATGCTTCTATATGTATGAATGCACCCATGTCGAAATATTATATTATTAGTTGATCTTGCTGGGAAACCTTTCAACAAACATATTGCTCGGTAATTAATTACTTTCTCTCACTAAAGAACCAAGGTTAACCAATTGTAGTAGTGCAACTTGTGAATTGGCAGTCTAAGAGTTTATTTATATATTATACATTACATGTATTGCGAAACATTTGTCAGTTGTAGGTGCTTTTGAGAAGAATCAAATGGGTTTCAATGTTGTCTCTATACAAAGACACCTCAGCAACCACACTGCCGATGAATATATGTAATTTCTATCCAAAATTCGAATTAATGTGAATCTTGAGGGCGATGCAATTCAATCGAAGTGATATTCTGCCAAAGCACCAAGCTAAAGTCGCCGGCCAAGTATTCCGGCTGGCACAACCGAAAGGAATTGCCGACCAAGTGTTTCACACTAAGTTGCTGACCAATGTGTTTCGGCGAGCCAAAATAGTTGCCGACCCACCTATCTCAGCCACAATTTATCTCGCAAGCCTTGACAATTTCTCCACTCTGAAGAATCAGTCGGCTATTGAGCCCATGCATGTGCATTTTGACAGTATTACAACTCATAAAAGATTGCTCGGCAAAGATACAAAGCTACTCGGCATCTTTTCCACCTTTCTCGGCAATCTTACTCGGCCACACATACGTCCACTCCACAACATTGGGCATTCTCGGAACAACTACAATTATTAATTTATTCACCTCCAGCAAAAATCTCATGATTCACTTCTCGAAAGTACAAAATTGCTCGGCGCTACTATTCGGCAACATTGCTTATCAAACTCCGCAAATTCGGCATATCATTCGACATCTTATCGACTATTAGTTCTCTGCATATTATCTCGGCTTCGGCAACTTATTCGGCAAGTATTCGAAAACATCACACCGCGATATTGCTTATTCGGCTAACATTTATTACTCGGCAGGATTGCTCAAATCACATTTCTTATTCGGCAACACTTCTTGAAAGTACTCACATGCATATCATTCGGCATCTTATCAACTATTAGTTCTCTGCATATTATCTCGGATTCGGCAACTTATTCGGCAAGTATTCAAAAACACTACACCGCGATATTGCTTATTCGGCTAACATTTATTACTAAGCAAGATTGCTCAATCACATTTCTTGTTCGGCAACACTTCTTGAAAGTACTTGCATGCATATCATTCGGCTGCCACCTGAATTGGCACAATTTGCTCTCCAAAATCTCGGCACTACTATCTCGGCATGAAACTAGCATCTTGGCTTACCGAAATCCACATCTAAACCTACCACAGGATTCACATCGGCTCAAAGAGTCCAAACCCACCAACCTGAGGAACCAGAAATAACCAAAGCCCGCCGAATGTTGCGAAACGGATCACATGTGCCGAAAACCGAAATTTATGAAGCTATCAAAATCAAATTTTGGTTATACCAGCGTGAAGTACTCATTGAGACGAGTCCAACGCAACAAACCGCATCTTAATCGGAGCTAAAACGAAGCCATAAGAGCTAATAGAAGTTTGCCTAGAAAATCATCTATCGTTGCTGGAGAAGACAACTTGGAGTTGGCCAACATAACAAATTATTCGGTGGATTGCGGCTAAGTTACATCTCATAATAGCCAAACAATTAAGTTTAAATATATAATGTGCAAAATACGAGCATAAGTCTTTGTCTTGATGCAGTAGTTCAGTGTTCTTTATCTCCTAAAGCAGGGGTTCAAGTCTTGTTGACCCCATTTATCCTTATTTTTTATTTTTTCCAAGCCATGAGGGAAATTATCCAGAGATTTGCGGAGCAAAAGTCTCAATCGATCTAAGCTGTTAGATCTATTTTGGCTATAATTACGCCATCAGGAGTCTGATCACAGCAATCCAATAGTCCTTTCCAGCTATCTGACGCTTTCCGAGGCCATCCGTACAGTCAGAATTTACAAATTCAGCACAAAATAAATATATACATATATATTAAATAAATAAACAAATAAATTGCAGATTTGTTTCCGATATCACCAAGCACCTTACTTTGTCTCGGCTTCATTCTGATATCGCCACGGCACCACACAGGGGCACGGAATCCGTTTCAATTCATTATCGGCCTACTCGGCAATTTTGGCCCAAGTCAATTTTATTCCTTCCGAATAACAAATCTTATTCAAAAGCAATGGGGCAAATATACGTTGGACAAGAAGCTCAACTCCACTAAATTGGCAACCACTGCCGACCAAGTTCTTAGCAAACCTAACCCCGAAGGAACGCCGGGCGTCGACCAAACGATTGGCACAATCGCCGACCCAAGTGTAAACAGACACCGATGTTTTGACACTAGTTACTCGACAGTGCATCAACTATACCCAGCAAGATTATTCGACCATTATTAAATTCAACATTATGCATGATCATTATTCAACGGTGCATCAACTCTATTCGGCTAAGCAACTCTATTTGTCAACTTTATGCATCGTCAAACTTTATGCAGCAACATTGGCCACAGTATTCGGCAACTTTATTCACCTAACAACATTATTTGGTAAAACATTTGCCCACTAGGACATCAGTCAATTTTCCGCTTTCCAATTGGGGCACATCAGCCGATCATCATCTCGGCACCTTTGATATGCATGAATACTCGGCCAACTTGGTACAAACATTACAAGGACGATTACTTGAGTTACAAACTTCTGCTCCTTTTCACATAGCTTCAAGCAAGCGCCCGTTTTGAGGCAATACATTACACACTTGGCAGACAGCAGTTTCCATATTTTTGCGCGCCGTCATTTTACCAAAGTCGAACCTTCCCTGCAACATAGGGCAATGGGAATCTACATTCCTTCCGACTAACACCTGGCATTCGAAAGCAATGGAGCAAGTCTACCTTGGACTAAACGCAAACTGAGCAACTTGGCAATTAAATAGTTGGCCCAATATCTACTTGGCAATTCCATATAAGCGGAGCAATATTATTGGTGATTAACACATCCACCTTATTCGATACATGATACATTATTCAAAGTCCTTGCTACTTTGGCACTTAGTTGCCACTTAAAATCAGCAAAAGTCTCCGAGTACAGCGCAATCTTCGCACTCGGCACAGAGCGCCGTTAGCAAAGGCCCACATCCTTGCCCGGGGTTATAATACCACAGGTCTACACCCTCACCCGGGGGTAATAATACCGTGGTCCAATTTTTGACTGATATATCTACCTTATTTAATCTATCTTATTTGGTTCAGGTAATCATTTCCGTGTTCGGCCTATAGAAATATTTCTAGCTCGGCATAAAAGTCCATATTTGGAAGCAATTTTGCACTTGACAAAATGCTGCACCCATGCCCGGGGGTTATAATACCGTGGCCTATGCCCATGCCCGGGGGTTAGAATACTGCGGCCTACACCCATGCCCGAGGGTTAGAATACCGCGGCCTACACCCATGCCCGAGGGTTAGAATACCGCGGCCTATTGTTATGATTTATTTGTATTCCTTTCTGGGTTTTAGCTCAATCCCCCTGATCTTATGATCAACATATATACATTTTTACATACATTCAAGACATACGTACATTTATACATGCATTCAAGCATACATGCAGTCATTCATTCACATATTTTATTCATTTATCCAAAGTGTTCTTTATCAAAAAACCTAACAGCTATTTGAACAGCGTAACTTGGCAAGATAAAACTCTCATTCCTTCTACCGTAGACAATGAAAGTTTTGGGACAATTGTGGGAGCCAGAAAATTACAAGTATTAGCTTATTGGGCCTAACCCAAACAAAGCCTACAAAGGTCCAGCCCAAATAAATATCACACCCCCCGTCTATATAAAGAGGGGGCATCCCAAGTGAAAGGTATGTATGTTCTCCCTCCACCACACACACACACCCCTTCTGATATATATATATATATATATATACTATTTCTTGATTCAAGGACTACCTTCATCATCGGAGTACTCCTGGCCAGCAACCCCGGTTGGGTGGCACCGACTATGTTCCTCATTGCAGATCTACAGGGGTGAATCTCTTCTCTTCGCTGGATCTCTACAACATCCATGTGATAGGATATTTCATGGTCTCACAGCCAAGAATGAGAAAAACTCATTTTACTAGTAATATGTAAGTTTCAAATCTTAAAAATAAACAAAAATACTTATTTATCAAAAAAAATAAAACTACATTGATCACATTTGCCTCTGTTTGTTGCTATGCATTCATTCATATCAACTAATTAAGCAAGTTGAGGTCGTTAATTTTAGGATTAGTTGAAGTGCATCTAAACTGATCACACACTCGGTTTTTAAAAAAAAAAAAAAACTGATTAAGCAAGTTGGTTTTAATTAAAGGTGTAGTGATAATCAAAGCTGGTGTTGTTGGTGTAACCTTCTTCACCACCATCATAATATAGCATGGTGTCTACTGATCCCCAACCACCACCACCACCACCAGCTAACTGGGAGGCTTTTCTATACTCCATAGTTTCTTCTTCTTCTTCTTCAGCATCATCAAACATGTCCTGTTCACAACAAGCATTATTCCTATCCGATGTCAGTCCAGTGGCCCCGAAACAACCTCCCCAATCAGTTAAACTCGAAATATTGAGCCAGATATTCGCCAACGCATGATCACTATCACAATCAGTGAAAACTGATTGTTTCTCCAAGAATTGTTGCTGCGATGATGAAGCGATCATCCATGTCTCTGTTGCAGAGGAGTCATGAATGGAGGTAGGCTCGGCCATGGAACTTAATGCGTCTGATTCGGCTTGGATTTGATCCACCAATCTGGGCAGCAAAAAGTTTCGAATTGTGTCTCTGAACTCATTACTGTTTACGTCGCAATTGAGTTGCTTTGCTTGCTTCTGAATTCTTGTTCTCCAATAGTTCTTTATCTCATTGTCTGTCCTTCCCGGTAACTGCTGAGCTATCTTCGACCACCTTCCAACATGTCAATAAAAAAAAATTAGTAAAGACAAATTACAGTGATTTTTATTTATGTATAATTTTCTCAAAAATATATAAATATGAATACCGATTTCCCCAACGCAAGTGGAGGTGGAGAATGAGAAACTGTTCTTGAAGGGTGAGGTTTCCACGTCTGACATCGGGACGTAAGTAGTTCAACCACCTTAATCTGCAGCTTTTTCCTGTTCGATTCAGACCTGTTTTTGCTTTATAAGTTACTGAAATAAACATATATTGGCAGATGGAAGGGAAGTGAAGTAAAAATGATATTTTCATCGGCTAATATAAACTGCATGACTGATACTGATACGTATTTTGATACTGTTATTTAAAATTATGATGACGGGGATAATACCTGCACATTGAGCGACAGAGTTCCAGGGGCCTTCACCGTAGATGGTAATATAATTGACGAGCGTCGAGTCCTCTTCTTCAGTCCATGGACCTTTTCTAATAAACTCCATTATATATATCACTTCTTCACTCAGAGAGAGAGAGAGAGAGAGAGAGAGAGAGAGATAGAGGGAGGGGGTTTTGGAGTTTGAGGCAAAAACATGTATAGATAGAATGAGAGGGAGAGTGGTGAACCAAGCCTTAAAATCATGTTTTTGAGTTTTTTTTTATTTTAGTTATTGTAAGTTTTTAAATGTTTTAAATATTTTTTTTTACATTTTAAATTGAAAAAAAATTACAAATACTT